TATGTATATCCTTAACTGTGATAAAACGTGCACTGAACTGGCACCGTCAAAATATCTCGTGCCACTTAGGGTGGAGTCCTATGAAGCGTATTTGCCGCGTATCGCGTAACCGCGTAACCAATCAATAATCAGTAAAACGCAGAATCACAACAGCGGATCGCTTCTGATTGGTTACGGGGTTACGCGATACGCGGTAAATACACCTCATGGGACTCCAGCCTTAGTGCGCACTACGCGTGTGTCGTGCGATCAAATGAACGTGACACTAGCCAAGTGCTCATTGGCACTGCCAATCGAAAACGCTATAAGAAACCTCAAGAGACTAGTCTCGTGAAAAAGTGAAATAAAGTGAAAAAGTGAACAAAAATAAAGAAAACCGAGCAAGAAAGATTTCTTTTCGTTGCAATAGATTTATTCGCGTTGCGTGCTCTAATTTAACTCTAAAGGCCCGTCTACAATACACGGAGTAAGAAGTAAGAGTAAGAAATTGACCAATCACAGTCGATTATTCTTCTCACATTCGACTGTGATTGGTCAATTTCTTACTCTTACTTCTTACTCCGTGTATTGTAGACGGGCCTTAATATGCTCCTATTAAGGCCCGTCTACAATACACTGAGTAAAAAGTAAGAGTAAGAAATTGACCAATCACAGTCGAATGTGAGAAGAATAATCGACTGTGATTGGTCAATTTCTTACTCTTACTTCTTACTCCGTCTATTGTAGCCGGGCCTTAACAGCTCTTACTTACTCCAACGCATTAGTTGAAATGCGATGCGAATAGATCTAGTGAGTTTTGACAGAGCGAGAAAAGGATAAAAAGAGAAAGATATACTGTGGCAACGCTAGGTAACTTGTGGTAATTTGCTTATTTCACGCATGCGCACTCTATTTTGGCCAACACTAACATCAAAGGTGCCAACAGAGAGTTGCGCTACTGTATATACCGTGGCAGCGTGGCCGGTCCGCCGTAGCATCATGACCTTAGAACATATATATGTTCTTAGAACATATATATATGTATATATGTTCTAAGATCATGACGCGTGCAGTGACAGTTTAAGGTTAGAAAGGTCTTTTGTTACAAAACCCAAAGATAAAAAGTTATTCCTAATAAAAATTTTTCTTCAAATTTTCATACGAAGTATGAAATTATTTTTAAGAAATGCATTTTCTTGAAATTTTTTAATTTTATATACGTACGTAAATTGGTAAATGTTTTAAGATTTCCAAGATTTTTCATTTTATATAGCTTCTAGTAAAAAAAATCAAACTTTTTAAATTTTGTAATATATTAATATAAAAATTATGAAGAAACATTTGAAATACTATGAAAATTTTTCATCAGAAATGGCAATATATATGGCTG